ATCATCCTGAATGGATCTCCCCGAGGATTTGCTTGCCGTCCGCGGGTGTAATGCACTTCATGAGTACTCCAAACGATGCGCCTCGTCAGTATAAGACATAGTTCTTGCTCCTCCTAGTGACTTGTTCTGCTTGAACCTTGTCCTCCAACAGCTTGTGGTGTAGGATTGTTGACGATGATTTCATCAACATTTTGGATAGTAAAAAATGTCACAAAAGTGTCACATATGGAAGGATATGAGCTAACCATGAATGATTTTTCTGCAAATAATAAGTTCCACATGTGTACCCTAAGTATTCGACGCATACCTCGGTTGGTGCGCCCGATTAGGGGAGTGATATTTTTGGCTATATATAGCAACAAAAGCAAGCATGCAGTGGAACATGCCCAACTCCTGCACTCGCTTGACCGCGTCCTCGAGAAGATCCGTCTCCGGCTTCTTTGGTGAACAGCCGATTGGAGTACAAAATATGTGTGTCAACAATCGGGCCTATTTGGAACAAGGGAAAATTTTCCTATTCCTGTATTTTTCCTGTGAAATTGAACTGATTCCTGTGAAATTCCTACGTAACTCCTGCGTTCCAATTAGAAAGGGCTGTCGAGACCCATATTGAGAAGGACGAGCCCGGGTTCGGCGGTAGACAAAGGAGCCACAAGAGGACGCGGTGGCGGCGTAAGAGGTGAGGAAGCGGTGGAGGGAGATGAAGGGAGGGGCGTGCGAGGCAGCGCGAGAACAGAGACCGCAATCGTATAGTGTTCCAGTGGCGGCGGAACCGCCGAAGGGTAAATGACGACGGAGGAGGGGAAGGTCCGGTCATGCTAACGATGGAGCTGACTAGTACAAATCCGAAGTCCCAGAAGAATACGGCCCATACCAGGCTCAACAGTCAGGATCCAGTTTTTTTCCCCACATATTTTTATTTATTTTCAAATTTATCCAGGCAGCCAGATTTTTAATTAAGGAAAGTAGAACAAACTGCATTAACTGTTATATCTACAACATGATAGAACTAGAAAACCTACACTTAGGGGTCTCGCAAATTTTGGTAATTTCGAGGGTGGTTGAAAGAAAAATCCAAAATTTATATTACACTAATATATATGTGCTTTATTGTAAATATATATGCGTCCAGGCTCATATTTCTCTATTGTTTATGTTGCATATTATTCTATTCTACTCAATAGACGTTAGTCATAAATCATGCTGATACTTTGTTTATGTCTAAAAAAAATTAGAAACTTATACTTTATTTTTAAGTCTCTAAAATAAATTCGATGAAATTTCGAGTGATTTTTTTAATTTCGATAATTTCGGGGGTGTCCGAAAAAGTTCTAATACTGAAATTGAAAACCCATTGGTTTCTCCCTGAGTTGAGTGTGGTCCCCTTCATCGAACTTGTTAGGTTGATTGTAATGCATCAAATAATGACATTACCCTAGTTTATTACTATATCCATAATTCATAACATTGTGCCTGTCGTGACAGAGCAACATGAACCAAGTGACGGTAACTTCGATGGAAATCCGAAGATCGACCAGGTGCATTTATCCGCTCCCACTAACATGCCGCCTAATGGTTTGGAGCAGTTCTATTCTTATTGATGTTTGGTTGAGGAACCAAAGGATGGAGCGGTTCTATTCTTACTGGTGTTTGGTTGAAGAACGAGAATTGATACTTGATACGAAATTTTGTTCCGAGCCTATTTGGTTCATGACATACATGAGCCAAATCAAAATTTGGCAATGCCAAATCAAGGTAAGGCCCAATAAAGGGCAAAATTAGGAGCAGCGCCAAAATCTGGAGAGCGAAATACATTTGGACTGCTACCATAAGAAATCTCATGAATACTTTTAGTATGGCATGTGGGGTACAAATGTCAATTATTTCGTATCAAAATATATCCAACATGGACCTTTGTTTTGTTGAAAAAACATTATAAATATTATGGTTCAAATTATTAAGGAAATCGGATAGAGGGCAGCCCCACTGCACGTAGCTCCCGCTTGTGCAGGGTCCGGGGACGGGTCCGACCACTTGTGTCTTTTGTACGCAGCCTTTCCCTGCATTTCTATAAGAGGCTGTTTCTAGGACTTGAACGCGTGCCACCAATGCCCTCCTACAGTCCTACGGTCCTAAAACATGTCCACCTCATCCATATCACTGCATTCGGTCATGACAAATAGATAGCTCTTCGCTGTTTACTGTAGTTTGGCATGGCAAAAATTAGTTTGGTCATGCCAATTTCTAGCCTTCAACTAGATGGATGCAAGATTTTCTGGTCAGACCAAACTGTCTTGGCCACCTGCAGAAAACCAAAAATAGACTGTGCGTGAAACATCAGTTAGCCATTGTTGCGAGGACATTGCTAGTGCGTTTCACTTGGTATGTTTCTGATTGCACTCGAAATGTTATGGGCGATGGATTAATTACTGATTTGGGGCCTATTTATACAAGTGAGAGCTCATGTATATCTATTTAGATTTTGGCTTTTTGCCAAACAATAGATAAGCTATAGATGACATGGCACCTAGTCAATTTTGTCATTTAGTTATGAATTTCATTGGATTATATGGTCTATGTAGGAAAGACAGTTTCCACCATGTACAAGAAAAAAAGTGTTGTTTTCTGTTGGAATTCTTTTGATACATGAGGAATGACATATTGACATGCATGATCACTTCACCTTTACACATGTTATAGCCTTAGCCACATCATAAATGTTCCACTTTATAAACATGATGAGTATGTAAAGTTATGACTTGCTCATGTGTATCAAAGCCTTTATCAACAGACTTTGTTGTAGTATTGTAGTCATGGTTAAAGCATGCACAGTAGATAGGTGAGAAGTTATTCAGCGATGAATGAATAAATGCTACAAGATCGAGACTAAATGAAATCTTAGTATGTACAGATGCAGATGCATGCACACACAAATGATTTACAAAATTAGAATGCCTATACATAGCTAAACATGGCAATTGCCACACACTCATTGTGTTCTTGATTACAGTTTACTTTAGCACACTCTGACGACAAGAAATAATTCAACGAAACAAACTTGATGTTCAAAATTTTGGATTGATTTTTAGGAAATATGTCAAAGTTAGGGAAAATTAACTTAGAGAAAAGCTAGAGCATGTAATAAACCATAGTGGAGGGAGTCTATGTTGAACTCTAGCTCTTAATTCAAATAGATGTACATCTAGCTTTTACAAACGTCAAAGTTAACTTGTTTCCATATAGAATGGAGAATGACAAATTTTATGCAACTTTTGTTGTGCTTCCACAAGCTACGATATGAGTCTACCCATCAATATACAGATGAAGAGGGCCATGGCCAACCTCCTGGCTGTCTGAAACATCAGTTAGGGCTCAAAGGCATAGATCCATTCAAGAAGAAAGACAACATTATCATTTATGTAAACCTTCTTAAGCAATGCTGGAAAAACTCAAGGAAAAAAGAGACTAAGATGGGGGGTCATCATTGATTTTTCTATCAAAACTACAAGATACAAACTTGAAGTTCCACAACAACACACTCCTTCATATTCTTTTTTCCAACAACAATGTGCTATGGGTACACATATTTAATTCCTTTGAGTCTACTTGATGAGATTTTGTCTTTCCCTACACATGAATTGAATCTCGTCCCAAAGAAGATCGAGAACATTGGGCTGATAAGCTTAACGCTGGGACCGAGTACCTATTTTGGGCTAAGGAAATCCAATATGGCTAAAAATATTTAAAAAGAATAACTTCTCTATTGACACATAATGGGAGCGAGGGAAAAACTCTTCATGGGTTCCTTTACTATTCCTTTTTATTTACGAAGGAATTAATTGCATGGGTCTATATAATTTGTGTCATGGTGCTCATATAGATATGATAAGATATTCCTTTGGTTTTTATATGACATGTGAGTGCAGGCTACGTTGGTTCTAGTGTTATGAGCTATGCCTAGTAAACCGTCATGTTCGTATTAAACTTCTTAATTATTGTTTTAGATTTAACATTTCAGAAAATGCCCTTTGCCACATGCTACACATAGACGGAAGTTGCAATCCATTGGACTAAGCTAGGAGTGAGAATGGCACTCCAGGTGGGTTCTCTCTACAAAAGTGTAGGATGGTGGTGGCCGGTTGGTACTTCAATCTCGGGGGCTTACTTTTAGATTTAAATACCCCAAATCTAAATATTATTTTATTGGCTATGGTGTCCATCAGCAAGGATCCTCCCATCTTTGGTAATGCCATCTAGCAGAAAAATGAGCTAGCTTGTTGAGCAGCCAATTCCATGCAAGTTTGGTGTCCCTCAACAAAATTTTCCTTAATTTATTCATGGGATAATAATTTAAACTTCATATTCATCATAAATTTTATTAGGCAAGAAGTTTTGTACTTTGTTGTTGCCAACTGATTTAATAACCTTGGTGTCGTTAAGTTCACGGGCTCCAAGACTTCCCTATATGTCTACCATACTATGGTGTCTCGTATAATTTGGGTTCTAGTTGAAAACATACACACCAAGTATTTACTGAAAACAATAATTAAGAAGTAAGACTTTGCGTGAACAACTTTGGACGCACATGTAGGTTTACTGATGAACTCATTAAGTTTTGCTTGGTATATGAGCACCTGATTTGAATGTCCATTGGTCAAAGCATATGTGCACATCACTTTCTCAAAAAACATACCATAGATGCAAGTACTCATCTACAAGCGCGTACTGTCGCATCAATCTTATAAACACACACGCACACCCAGATGAGAACATTCAAGAGGTTGGGCTTGCACATGTTTGGATTGATGAAGTAATGTGGTATTGCCTATGTATTAACTAGGCATGTGTCTTTAATTGCGATTTCATGTTTTCAATTGTATATACGAAGAACACAGTTAAGAAATAGACTTAGATAAATCTCAATCGATGTATTGATTATTCCTGGTAAGTTGCACACGCCGGTATGAGAGCTTTATTATCAAATACATCTCATATGTAATCTAGAAGATGACACCTCCAGCGATGGGTTGCTGCCACGACAAGGCAGGGTTCATCAAAGATATCTGGTTGAATGGCAACAATTGTTGTTGCTGGAGGAAGGCGGCAGCCAATGGGTTAGCAACTGCCAGTGGGTTAACTGACAGCAACTGCTGATGTTGTAGGTACGCGGCGGTGTTCGCCACAGGCAGTTGGTTGAATGGAAGCAGTTGTTGCTGTTGCAAGTAGGCAGCAGGGTTTGCCATGGCTAGTTGACTAAGCGCGGGTAGGATCTATTGCAGTTGTTGTTGAAAGGATCAAGATGCCCAAGAGGGGGGTGAATTGGGCTAATTCTAAATTTCTTTGCAAGAATTAAATCCTACGGTTAGCCCAATTAACCCCTTGTGCCTAAAAAGGTGTTTCTATTGATCTACCGCACAAAAGTTTAGCAACATATATTCCAATCCTACTCTAGCATGGCAATTCTAAGAATGTAAATGACAAGAAATGAATTGCTCAAAGTAAATGCTCAAAGTAAAGAGAGAAGAAGGAACGCGGCGATGTTTTGTCAAGGTATCGGAGAGTCGCCACTCCCCACTAGTCCTTGTTGGAGCACCCGCGCAAGGGTGTAGCTCCCCCTTGATCCGCGTAAGGATCAAGTGCTCTCTATGGGTTGATTCTTTGACACTCCATCGCGGTGAATCACCCACAACCGCTCACAACTTGAGTTGGGTCATCCACAAGCTCCGCCGGATGATCACCAAGCTCCCAATCACCACCAAGCCGTCTAGGTGATGGCGATCACCAAGAGTAACAAGCACGAACTCTCACTTGAACAAGACAAGCCTAATGAGAAGGGTGGATGCACACTTTGCTACTCTTGATCTCACTAATGAGGTCTCTCCTTGGGATTCTCAAATCTCAATCACCTCACTAGGACCTTGCTCTTCTTGGCACTCTCAAAGGTGTTTCTCAGCTGTTGGAATAAGCAAAAGTCCCTCCACACATGAATGGAGGAAGTATTTATAACACTGGCTGAAAACTAATCGTTATGTGCCTCTACGGGGTGACCGGACGCTCCGGTCAGTTCACATGAAGTTCCAGTGTTTAAAGTGTGACCGGACGCTGGCCAGCGTCCGGTCAGCACTGACCGGATGCATACGGTCATGATTTTCCCTCTCTGGAACCTTACTAGACATGACCAGACGCTGGCCAGCTTCCGGTCAGCACCGACCGGACACGTCCGGTCATGATTTCCCCTCTCTAGAACCTTATTGGAAATGACCGAACGCTGGTCCTCAGTGTCCGGTCACATCACCTCTCAGTGTCCGGTCGCACCAGACGAAATCTCCTTGGTCAAATGAACTGACCGGACCCTGAGCCAGCGTCCGGTCAAACCGGAGCCAACATCCGGTCAGTATTTGACCCTCCATTCACTTCCAACTCTCGATCATACGTGAATGAAGTTTGCTCCATTGGATCTAAAGGCTATTTTGGAGCTACCTAGTGCTAGTTTTAGCAAGTGTGCACCACACCTAACTCACTAGACTCACCTAGGTCAAGCTACCCATCCATACCTCCCTTAATAGTACGGCCAACGGAAAAACAAAGTCCTAAACTACTCTAAGTGTCTCTTCAACACCAAACGACACTTAGAACTAGTCCATCCTTAACCTTGTCGTCCATCCTTTAAAAACTGAAATGATTTCCATCGTAGGGGCATGACCACCATGATAGCCCAATCAATCTCCATTACCGTGACCTAACTTAATTGCCTCTACAAAACACACGTTAGTCACAGTAATCATGTATTGTCATTAATCACCGAAACCCAACTAGGGGCCTAGATGCTTTCAATCTCCCCCTTTTTGGTGATTGATGATAATACCACCTCAAGTATGTGAAAGAGATGAGGTTTTTAACCTGCTTAGTTCATATAAGCTTTTGTCAATAAGAACAAAAGTGTTAGGTAAGCTTATATGACCCAAGCCAACATGATGTACTCAAAAGATATGAAATAAGCATGAGTACAAGAAATAAAGCTCATTTGCATCGGAGTAAAACGTGGAAGCAAGGCAAATGAGCATAACACAAGTGATATGACATGTAAATAATTCAAAGTAGAGAGCACACATGTCATATATCACGATCATGTAGATATCACTATCACATAAATATAGTTTGATGCATAAAAGTAAACACACGAATGTATAATAGTGTATCACACATAAACTCCAAATGTAATAGATAAGCTAATAGATAAGCTAAGCTCCCCCCTGGATATGACGCTCCCCCTAGGACTAACATACTAGATCCCTCTCCCCCTTTGGCGTCAAACACCAAAACCTAAGGGTTGGTCGGCGGGACTGCAGCGGATGAGTCGGGCGCTGAGGTGCGAGGAGCGAGCTAGAAACATGTGCTATCATCATATGATCCTGAGCTTTGAGCTGTATGACCCTCTGTCGCCGGAAGTGATGCTGAAGCGGTCTGGGTCAGATCAGTAACTGGTGCGGCCTGTGACTCTATATATATGACTGTAGTAGGCGGCTCTGATGATGCAACTGAGGAAGGAAGAGTCTTTGTCGTGCCTATCACTGGAGCAATGGTGGTAGGTATAGGAGCAAGTAGATCTGGCGGTGTAGGGTGCCCTATCAACTCACTGAACGAAGCACCAAGGCTCTTGGAAACTGAAGTCTCTAGCACTGGCAGCGAGGAAGTCTGAGCCGGTGTGGAGCCCATCTGAAGAGGTGTTAATTGCGAGGCTTGCACTAGCGAAGCAAACCACTAGGACACCTGCTCTGTAGGTGAATCAAACTGAGGTGCTGGCTATCCCTGACTCCCAAGCCCACTAGGCTGTATAGATGGAGTCATAGAAGTGGTGACAGGCTGACCAAGCTGGGGCGAAGGCTGTGGCCGTGGAGCCCCAATTACTGTCACAACATGCTGCATGAACCCAAGTAGCTGCTGCTGCATGAGAAGCTGTTGCTGATGCATGGCCTGCTGCTGCTGCATAGCCAGCTACTGTCGCTGAAACTCATCCTGCCTAGACTGAAACTATGCAAATGTAGCAGCGGTCTCCTGAGCCTGGCGAACCTGATCCTGCCTCATTCGCTCAAGTATGGCAAGTAGAGTGGGGTCTGTCTGCGGTGCAGATGGAGCTAAACTGGAGCTACCAGCCTCATCTGAGTATGTCGACATGGAGGCATCTAAGGAATGTCCCAGTAGTCCTCATCTGAGCTGTCACTAGGGTCGCGCTCGACCATCCCCTCCTGCTGAGCATCTAACTGCTCCTCCTCAGTAGCTGCTATGCCCCTGATAGTCTCATCCTGCTAGGCTGTAGTCTCTGGCACCTCTGGATGACATCACAGCTGACTGGGTGCACTCGGTGTACTATGGTGGATCATCTGGCCCAGGTTGTATGTAGGGAACTCGGTAGTGGCACCACTATACTCTGCTAGCATCTCAGGCGGCCTCACTGTAACTGCCCTGTGAATAAGAAACATGATCCAGTGAGCATAGGGCAACTGACGGTGACCTCTAAACCCCTCAGCAATAGTATCCTCCATCTCAGATAGAAGAAGATCCCAAATATCAAACACCATCTGCTGCATCAAAGAGTTCAGAAGCCATAGCTGTAAGCGAGTCAAGCCCTCATGATACCCCATCCTCGGAATCAGGGTCCTCCTCATAATAGCATGCAGCACTCTAGCTGTAGGAGTGAGATCACTAGGAGTCCTGCTCGATCCCTCGCCAAAAGGCTCCTTAAAGCAGTGGCGGACTAGATCTGTAGGAGGTACCAAACCGCCATAAGGACGTCGGGGAGGCGTTGTCTGTCCATAGCAAACCTCATGCAGCCGGATGGGCTGCTCCTGAAGTCTGAGTATCTCCCTGACCCTAGAACTCGTTAACCTGTAATCTCTACCTTTGAAAGCAAAGTGAATGTATCTGTGCTGTGGGTCAATCCATAGTGTAGCATAGAACTGATGGACCCAAGATGGAACATATAAGCCGGTCCATCCGAGTAGATCTATCAGCCTTGGCAAATAAGATAGGTACCGGCGAATATGCTCTCCAGCTGCTGCTACAATGGATTCAATGTTGCATACCCTCTGAGATCTGAATACTATCCCACTGTTAAGATATGCATTATAAAAATCTTCCTACAGTGGTGTATAGAAGCCCTCCGAAGCTCGGTCATCCCTCCTCAGTGGGAACCACTGCTCAAAGTCCACAAATCTGAGCTGTTGCACCTGCTTGGCCATGGCTGCCCTCAAATCTAGATGAGTCACTGGAGGCGGACCCTATGATCTAGGCGGTGGTTGAGAACCCCTCCTCTGTGTCTGTGGCCTCGGTGAAACTGGAGCACGAGTACGACCAGAGCATCGTAACTGTGGCTGAGGTGCCTGCTCTGTCTCCTCTACCTGCTCTCCCTCCTAAGTCTGCTCTGTCTGCTGTGCCTGTTGCTGTGACTCCGCCTGAGACTGATTGTCATTAATAACAACACGACATCCTCCAACCATGGCTGTCCCAGCTGGACCACCATGAAAACGCTCAAACTCCTCGATGGCTATCCTCACTGCAGGAGAAAGATGATCTGCAATATGAACTCCACTCCTGGCACCTCCTCTCTCTACACACTCTACGGCCTCTGCAACTGTGGCTGCTCTCGTTGTATTTGCATCAGGGTACTTGCGCTTCTTCGTCGCTAGTTTCTTCATCGCCTTGCCTTTTGTATCTACAGGCAGGCGAGGCGGGGGCCTCGGATCCTCATCACCGGGACCACCACCGACGTTCTTGACATGAGCCATCTGATGGGTCTAAAAAGAACAACTTCCACTGACAAGAAACAACTGTCCACTATCACTTTTGAGGCTTGGCCTCGATCCGTACTCGCAAGCTTGGCCCCGAGTTGATAGCCATCTGAATTTCCGAGCGCTCCGTGAGCTTGGGACAAAAGGTATGGTGGAAGGATTACCCCAGCTGGATCGAGTTGATGAGTTTTATGATGGATGTGCACTGGGAAAACAGCATCGTCATCCATTCCCACAAGTGACCAACTACCGGGCTGAGAAACCTTTGGACCTGGTACATGCAGATCTATGTGGGAATATCAAACCAAGCACAGTTGGTGGTAAGAACTACTTCCTACTCATTGTTGATGATCACAGTCGATTTATGTTGGTGGAGTTCCTGACTAGTAAAGCTAAGGCATTCAAATGTTTCAAGAAGATTAAAGCTTTGGCAGAGACAAAACAAGAGAGTCGGT